CTTGTATAGTTAATTTCCTGTATTCAAAGTGTTAACCCCTTTTTAAACCTCATTTGCGATCCTGTGATTGATGTGGTTCACTTGCTTCTGTTTGCCCATCGGCTTTGTCTTTGTTGTGTTTTACCGTCATGGAAACACACTCAGATGCCTCGTTAATGTGGTTGACCTTACCCGAATCATTAAGGCGAACCTTTGGAGAGCGGTGGTGCTGATGCAGCGGGAATCTGAGACGGGGGCTTTAGATGGCCATCACTATACATCACTTTCGGCAAGTGTGTTTTTTTTTTTTTTTTACTGATAAACAAGTCGTACAAGAAGGCCGTCTCTGCCTCCTGTATGAAAAGAAAACCCGGCCTCCCCCACACAGCGTTAAAACACAGAAGGGCTCTTTGGCCACACACGTCTCTGCAGGGCTCCATGGTGCTGCCAAACGTTTGAACCCCCTCCCTGTTGAAGGCCGGTGGGCTTTTTGTCCCTGTGTGCAATGTGCCGCTCCAGAGGGACTCAATAGGAAAAGGCCTCCCTGTCGTTTTCAGGCTCGGGTCTCAACAGGGGCAGTTTCTCCTGCAGCACGGGGGCCTTTCCATTGAAGCTGCAGCCGAGGAGAGAAGCAGCGGAGTGAGGCGCTTCTTTATTTGGAAGTGGGAGTAGGGAGTCAGAGGAGAGAGAGAGAGGACCGTGGGGGGGTGTCTCTTATCTGTAAGTCTCACGAGCTGAATCAATCCTCGCTTTGTGTGGAATTACATCATCTCAACGTGGAGCTGGCTTTTCAGGGTTTAAGATTTTGGTTTGGAGGTTTTTTTCTTGTAAGCACATTATCCATCTAAACCAGTAATTTAGTCTCACAGAGAACAGAGAGGAGGGGGGCGATTTAAACACATTTTAGTTAATGTTCCTTGCTTTACCAAACATTGGGTATGATGCTCCGCATCCCTAAATGTGCTGCATACATTGTTGGACCATGCATTGAGACGAGGCTGTAGTGCCAAGTAGCTCTGCTGTAGGCGTCCTGTCCCCGTGTGCAATGCAAATGAATTCACCGGTCAACTCTCTAATGGCTTTCTGCTATTTCGTGTGTGAGCGGAGACGTTAAAGAAATGACTTTCATGTGCTGGATGATTTGGAAATATTTTGGATTCAGTAGTTCAACTCTGCACCTCTTTTATTGAGAAACTCACTCAACATTTTCCCTATGGGCTGAAACCTCCCAACCTGTTTAAATTGCCTCTGCTTGACGGTACCGTACGCACCATCTGCACGGCCGCCAGCAAGCTCTTTTGTAAAGTCTCTCTACGCGGTGGAGGAAGTTGCATCAGATTGAGAATACTTACTTTTCCTACCAACACAGATATGTTGAGATAAGGAGCCTTCTCTTGTGGCCGAGCCAAAGCCAAGAAGTCCTACCGTAATGAAGGGAGTGGCTCTGCTGTTAGGCCGAGGCACCAGTGCGGTTGTGGCGGATGGAAATGAAAAGGTTGATGTGGCAGAAATCTCGAAACCATTACGCTGGAGAGTTTCGAAGGACCCGCCCTTTGAACTCCCTTGTAAGCGAAGCGAAGCATTTTTATTTTTTTTTTTATCAGATTCAAAGAAACTTGCGCTTTCATCTTTCTTGTTCGGACATCTGGGGGCCTAATTGTCTCTTTCCTCCCCGCTGAGTGTTTTGGGGCCGGGCATGGCAGCACTCCGGGGTTAAGGGTTGGCACTGGCCGACGGGTAGATCACAGGTTAGCGTTGTTGCCGCGGCTTGTGGAACACGGGGCTGCGGGCGTCACATGTGTTTGCACACGGTGAGGCACATCAGATGTGGTGGGAGACATGTGGAAGCTCTCTAGGGTTTATCCGGCCCGGCCCACGGCGGGCATCACAGCAGTCAAACAAACACAAGAGGGGTTTATCTGTATCTGTGTGTGTGTGTGTGTGTGTGTGTGTGTGTGTGTGTGTGTGTGTGTGTGTGTGTGTGTGTGTGTGTGTGTGTGTGTGTGTGTGTGTGTGTGTGTGTGTGTGTGTGTGTGTGTGTGTGTGTGTGTGTGTGTGTGTGTGTGTGTGTATGTGTGCGTGTGTTTGCAAACAAGAGTGCGTCTTTCAACACTGTTGTTTGGAATCTGTCTTGATATTTCAACTGTAAGAGGGAAGCTCAGCATTCCTGCAGAGCGTTGTTCCTGGCTCATTCCGAGACAAAGCCCTTCCTTTATTCCTAAGAAGGCCAAACGACGGCACACCTCGAGAGGACCTTGGGATTCAAGAGCTCGGCAGCTCTACTTACAAGCTACGGTCAAGGGCGTTGGAAAGCCAACAATCAAGTCAGAAGGCAAAGACATGTCAAAACTGGCATTAAAGCGCACGTCGCTAATCTTTCTTTGGGTTAAAACCCACCGCTGCCCCTGCACTTGGTTCCTTCCACCGCAAGTTGACCCGACCATCATGAAGTCACTCATGGTTTCCCCGTCTGGGCGGCCGAGCTGCCTGCTCCTTCTGTGGGGGGGGTGGGGGGGGATGTTAATCGCTTGCTTTGCTCCCCAACTCCATCGATGGCCTCCGTTGATGCGACATGTGACACAGCAGCCTTTGAGGGCAACTCCTCCTGATGAGGCCTACTGTGCGCTTTCATTGCTCCTTTCATCCTTGTTGACTGGCGGATTTAGAAAGTCCATTGCCCATGTGTTCTCCTACAGACAACTTAACAGTAAGGTCAATTAAACGATGGATTGATTGGAAACAACTGTCTCGTAAAGCTTTTGATGTGTTATTTTCTGTATATGACGTGGGTGGTTTTGATTTGCTCAACGGCGCTTGTTCTCGAACTTGGGTAAGAGACGTAGAGAGAATTCACACGGACGACATAGATAGATAGATATACAGACAATACCATAGAGCATACATACTGTACATGTATGACTGTCGCCAGTCAGCAGGTACGTTTCACACTGCCGTGTGAAAGTGTGAAATGTACCTGCTTGTGAAAGTGTTGTAAGTAAGGAGTAACAACCAGTTGGATCCTAAGAGTATCAAACCTGTCTGCCACAGCCTTGTATTAAGTGCAGTATTTCAGGACTCTCCTCTCCCATGTGTCCTTAACACTCAGCTGTGGAGCAGTCGGGCGGTGGTACCTCGGTTTGGGGGGGCTGCTGCTCCAAAGGCGCGCAGCAGGCGCCTAGAGAGGGCAACTGAAAAATTCGAAGAAGGGAATTAATGTTTGGGGAAGGTTGTAATTCTGTGCTGCTTTTGCCTATTTGAGGTCCGTTAAATACAGACTGCGTCGGGCCTCGGCGGCCCGAAGGCGGATCGGGACTCGTGCTTTGGGGTCGGAAATAACCGGTGGCCGCTTTCTCAGTCATGCTCACATGATTTACCACTAGTCAAGTCACTGACATCGTTTGTGGGGATTAATGCATGCATGTTCTGCCTAAAATCATATAATTCATCATCATTTTTAGGCGGTGAGCAAACACAACATCTGTTTCTTCAGATGCTCCGCCAAGAAAGGAACTCGCGTTTTTTTGAGAGATTAAATCATAAAACCAACAGCTAGGAAGCAATCTGCTCTATATAACAAAATGTTGGACTAATAAGATTTGTGCGCCTACAGTCAGTCTGCCTCACGCATGATCCTGCTCTTGGAAACTGTGCCAACGAGCCCAGCTCAGCATCCGTGGACGTGGTCCAAGTCAGGAGGGGTTTGCAGTTCCGCTTCTGTCACAGCAGTCGGGCACCAGCAGCTGGCATGTTGAGGCTGAGGTTTCACCGGGTCGATGCACTTTTACGGGCTTACTTTTAAATGCCCACCATGCATCACTTGCACAGAATAGTCGATTGCTGTTCCCATTTACAATATGCACTGCATACGTGTTCTGGGTGATTTGGGGACAAACTTAAAAAAAGGAAAACAGAAAAGTCTGCAACTGAAGTACCTCATTTTCACCACTGCCCTGATTTCACATTGACATATGTCTCCTCCGCACGCCTCAAAGGTCAGAGGTCAGATTCTGGAGGCTAACAGGCTTGACACTGAACGTGTGCGTGTTTTTCCATATTCCGGCTCGTAGTCAGGGATCAGAGAGCTGAAAGGCAGGGTAAAGGTCAAAGTGAGGCAAGTTATTGGTCTTGACCTGGCTGTGTGTGTTGTTGAGGATGTGCACTGGTGTCAGCGGACATCGCACCAGAATGTGAGCCGGCGGCGGCCCCTCTGAACGCAGGTTGGTGGAGAGGGAGCCCCTCCGAGAGCAAACACCACGGACAAACAGAGGACAGGTTTGACACGGCACCTCTCTCATCACTCTGGAATGTTTGAACAGAAACAATTGGTGAATATTTTCCCCCAACATACAATTGATCAAAGTTTTCACATGCGGGTACATGCCAAGAGTGCAAAAAGGGCAGGAGATAATATTAAGGAATGCAATATAAATTATCGATTTCATCATGGTTGCAACAACATTTCTTTGAGCCAAGTACAGTTATTTAAGCAATATTTTCTAATAATTTGGTGGTCACTTTGGCAAAACAAGTATAATGCAAGACTTTAAAAGTAACTATGAAAAAGTCTTAGGAGAAAGTTCTAGGAGAATAAAGTGATGAGGTGGATTTATTTCCCATTGGCGTTCTCTTTTACATGGTTGCAAACTTCAACAGTGTTTTGGTGCTCTCATGCAACCTCGATGTGGTTATTCTTATTAAATCTAGAAAGCCTAGAAAAAGGATTTCCATGAAATACAGACATTTTGTCTTTGTTGCAAAAAAATTAATAAAAATGAACAGCCGCCACATTGGAATCCCGGAGTGTCTGCTGGCAGGAATGATACGTCTCCGGGAAGTGAAGAAATAGTCCCAGACAACCAATTATCTTTCACACATTATGCAAATGAGATACAATATATTCATTCAAGACCATTTTTGACAACATGACATAAGTGGTAAAAGGGTTACAAGTTTGTCATCCTTCACCATGGAAGTAGACAGCTTTGCCCTCTTCAGTGGCGGTGGTTTGTGTGTGTCCACAGGGCATCGCTTTCTCCCTGGAGGAGCGTCTCCAGCTGGGGATCCACGGCCTGCTGCCTCCCTGCTTCAACAGCCAGGACCTCCAGCTGCAGCGGGTGCTCAAGAACTACGACATGAAGAGGGATGAACTGGACCGGTGAGGCTTATACACAAGTAAAATTCAGACGGATTCCACAGAGGATTTCCCTGTGCACGCTGGGTGTCCCCACATCTGGAAGCCTTCAAAAGCACGAAAGGGTGATTACCCATCAGCCCTCAGAGTTCCACACCCATCTCCCAACACTGTGTATCTTACTGAACAGATCTCTCTAGCCCCCCCCCCCCCCCCCCCCCTTTCCTCCATCTCCTCCATGGACTCCTTCACGAGTGTTTTTCTAACCTCCGCAGAGACCAAATGAAAACTTCAGCTCAGTTTTGCACGCATCATTAGTGTCTTAGAAGTGCTGCTAGCGTTGCGTAAGGCCTCATATTCTAACTCAGCCCCGGGCTCTTCGGGCACTCAGTCCAGACCAGTCGGTTTTTTACTGTTTCGAATTCTTTCTCATTAAATCGCTTCTTATTCCAGTCTGCCCAGCTCACACAGAGTCAACCGTTCCATCAGCTGTCGCTCCCTATGTCCAAGATAAGCCAGATTTTTTGTGAGAAAAGATTTCAGGGTCAACAGTTACTCCCAACTTTTTTTTAAAAGACTCCCTCATTTTCCACCGTGGCAACATGGCAGGATCAACAGCTAGTCATTATGAGCTTGTGACTGGGTTCTCATGCCCTATCAATGTCAGTGTCGCTCCTTCTCCTTTGCGTTTCAGCGTCAGGCTGCGGTCCCGCGGATTAAGGACTGCTATTTGTCTGCCGTTGCTCAAGCCCGCTGTGTTTACTTGCAGTCTGTTCTCCCACGGTGAATCCTTCTTTGGCGCTGACTGCTGGACGCCGTCATTTATTTTCTCCCGACCATAATGCATTCGATTTTAATCAAATATCTGGATTTTTTTCTTTTCTTCTTTCAGTGGAATTAATCGTGTTATGGCAGAGGGAAGACAGCTGCAAGCACATACGTTTATGATGACAGATGATGGAGTGACTCGAGCACCTAATGTGACTGTCGTCAACAGAGGGAATGGATATCAAAGGCTTTGCCAACAGAAACAGGACAGAATGTAAAATGGTACAAGCTTAGAAAACGAGCCCATTGATCACTCTGAAACGCATTAAGATAGATTATGTCCTGACTGCTTCAGTTGACTTTAAAGGAAACACTGCGCACAGTAAGTCAGCACGGATGCTGCTTTATAAAGCAGTGTGTACTGTAAATATTCCCGTTTCCTCTGTGCGGGCGGTGCACACGCCTTTTATGGTTAAGAATGGAGGAAAATTTTCCTTAATGATCTGCCAGCATAAGACCAATGTTAGGGTTTGGTGTGGGGATTTAATCGTGTTTGTTGAGTCAGCTAGATGAGATCGTAGTTTGTGACTTTAATATCTACCTGCTGTTACACACCCTACCCGCTCAAACCCAAAAGATTCACTTTTCACTTCTACTACTGGGTCTATGTTACAGTGTAAAGTCACTAGTTATTGAACAAAAAGAAGCACACTACTAATTGACAGCAACAAGATGTGAAATTAAACCAAATTACTGTGACTCGAAGAACTGGTCACAATTCCACTGCTGTTTCATAATCTTGTGCCAACCGCATGTATTCTACGTTCGCCATCTTCTCTTCTAACTAAATGCACAAACACGCTATACTTTCAACGGGATGGAAAAACTCGCTGAGCAGCTCAACTTCTCCGTCTTCTCAGACGCTAACGTGACTCACTATTGCCTCAAGAGGAACAAGTGGTTTTACAAGACGGAACAGGCCGGTCAGCATGCAGAAGATATCTGTGACCCAATACAAGGTGTCTTTGACCAGATGTCTGGATCATAACCTCTCCACTCTCTGTTGCCAGTGTTGGTTCATTTTCTTGCATTGTTTCGTCCATATGAGATCAGAAAATGATCCAAGGGGAACTCAAAATATTGATTTTGATATAACGTGAGAAAAGGAAAAAATATGAAATTCCTCGCGAAGCTGTTTGGCATTTTCTCCTCAGCCCAGTTGTTTGTTCTGGAAAAAGATACTAAACGTAACCCGTTTAGAACAGGAACAAATCCAACCGCAGACTGAAAGTTAATGCGAAAACCTTTCATGTGAGAAAGTGCTCGTGGCAGAAGCTAATTCAGTTCACCAGTAAGCAAACAATGCTCCTCTAATGCGACTGTCACCTCCGTGTATGGTGCAGCTGCTAACCTATAGCAGGGAGTGCGTGCATGCTTTTATCCCCTCAACAAGGGGCACCTTGTGCTCTTCACTTTATGGAAACCGCTCTGATTAGTAGAGCCCTTCCTTGCGTGCTCCACTTAATGTGTTTTATATGCAAACCCTCAGTTCCTGTGGAATCTACAGGACTAAGATCTTTCTAAAGAGCTTTCTTTCCTATCTTTTTATTCGCTTTTTTTACAATCGGGCTAAATTAAGCTCGGTTTTCAGTGTTGTGTCCATCCAATATAATCTCCAAATGGACATTTTCATAGTAAAGATGTTAACCTTTGCCTTTTCTCAGACAAAATGTGTTGTTGGCAGTTTCAATCCTGCCTGGTACACTTGCACAACGCACAGATGTCGCTTAAAAATCTCTTTTTTTACTCCCTGTGACTCCCAGATATGTGTTTCTGATGGGGCTTCAGGACCGCAGCGAGAAACTGTTTTACCGGGTGCTGTTGTCGGACATCGAGAGGTTCATGCCCATCATTTACACCCCCACGGTGGGCCTGGCCTGCCAGCAATACGGGCTGATATTCAGAAGACCAAGGTAAGACACACTCACAACAGTCTTTATAAAAGAGCCCTCCCAAGTTGCAGTGCAGAACTCATGCTTATATTATACAGAAGGCTGGTGAGGCTGTTTTCCATTTCTCTTTTTCCAAACACGTCAGTCTTCAACTCATTCGTTATTAAGTGTTTTATGATGAGCGTGCTTATAATTGTTTTGTTGTTGTGGTATCAGCCAGCATTGTCCTGTTCTGCTGGCTGTGTGGTTTCAAGGTTTTATTGTTTGTGACCTTTCGCCAATCACGTCTCACTTCTTCCAATCTGAATGTTTGGAGATAAGGAATGCGAGTTGAAGGCGGCAGTAACCAAGCCTCCATTACTGTCGCTGGCCCGGCCGACGCTGCAGCAAACTGCACCATATTCTGTGTGTCCTGTCATGGCTGCATGCTTAAGGGCCTCTGGAGGTTTTGGTGACTCACACACACACACACACACACACTTTCTCTAATCAGCTTTTATTGGCTGTTTTATACCGCCCTCGACGGTCTTCTCACTCCGGCCGCGGCCGGTAGGGGGTTGAACATTTTTGGCTTGTATTCATTCAATCTCACAATACAGCAATGCTAACTGCATGAAACACAGATCTGCAAGAAATAGAGTTAGACGTGCTGAATAGTTACACAAAACATCAACATGCAGACTGTGGGGGTCGGACAAGAAGCATAATGCTTTTCCGGGAGAAGTATGAAGATAAAAAATGTGTTTTTAATATGAAAATGACTGAGCTGCCTTCATATTTTTGGTTGAGTCTGAATCAAATGTCAGTCCCTTGTTTACAACGGCCAACCACCTGATGTATCAGACAGATTCAGTCAGATTTACTTCTGAAATGAACACGTTGACAGTCAACCAGACAGGAGTTGTATAGTTCTGACGGAGGATCTATCACATTTGGCAACTTAAAAGCCTGTTTACAAGCATATCTACTGAAGCTGGCCGCAAATGGTCAAATGATTTGATGTGTCACATTGACACCAGAAGGTCAAGGCCTCTTAACATGTGTACGTTAAGTCTGAATCGGCCTGTGAGGTTTTCTAATGTGAACCACGCTTGCAGGGTGCGGTTGGCCTTTCAGCTGCAGTTTGGTCAGACGGCTCAGATGGAGGCAAACCGCGGTAAGCTGCAGAAAGCAGTTTCTGGGCTCACCTTGAGCAGACGAGCCTTCGTTGGGTTCCTCCCCTCTTCTACTGTAAACACACTTGCAGCCTCTGTCTCACGCACACACCTTCTTACGAATGGGTTCATCAAGTTCAAGTCTTTCACTATCTGACAGCAGCGCTCCCCGAGCGGTTACTAATCGATCTTTAGTTTTTGTTTGTTCTGGGCCTCAATCTGTTTGACTTGGCAAATGCCCACACTGGGTGTATTTAAAATAAACCCAAGTTTGGTTTCCCACCAGCTACCTGTTTCCCCATCGCTGCAGAACTATTTGGGGAAAATATTCCTAACATGCTCCCCTTCCTCTCACACTGAGCCGACCGGAGGAGTCATTTTATACGCTGCCTCAAAATCCCAGCGCAGTGAGCCAGGACCTGCTGCCAGAGGCCCGAGGGTTGGAAGTTCCTCTAGGAAACGGGCATCAGGGGGTCACTTAGCAGAATACACCGGGGACACACGCCGGCCGCGTTTGACAGGCGTTGTTTTCCAGCCAGGCCGTTTCTCTCTGCTCACCGGTGAGAAAGGGGAACAAGCTGAGGCCTTGATGAGTTTGCATGTATTGCATTCGTATATTGGGAACTGTCTGTTTGCCTCCTTGGTCCAGGATGTAATATATTGACAGCTGGTGGAAGGATTTTCAGATCCAGATTCATGGTTCCCCAGAGGACTACTCCTCACAATTTACTTGGTCCCCTTACTTCGCATCTACCTTCACATCTGCACTCAAACACCATCGAGTGGGATGATGACATTGGCATTGCCAGTAAATATGTTGCAGATATTAATGCCCTCCTCAGAATTATTTCCAATAATTTTGGTGTGCACCTAACTTTTAAATTGGCATAATTATTGTATAATAAACCAAATATCTACATTTCTTAGCCTCAGCAATAACTTGCAGTCTGTAATCCTGAATTTCAAATATTATTCAGTTTCCATCAAGCACAATGCTCAGGGGATTTTACTCACTACTATCTTTTAGTAATGTGTGTGTGTGTGTGTGTGTGTGTTGCAGTCAGACCACCATAGCAGCAGATTAGGTCTCCACTCAGCGGCTTTCAGGTATAAAGAGTTTCTGTGTGGAAGCAGCAGTGTCTCCTTGTCTTGCCTGACTTTACCAGCTAATCTGCCTCTACAAGACTAAACACTGCAATTCCCGGCTCTGTGCGGAGGCCAGAGGTCAAGCCCAATTCAGTGTCAAAACAGGGCTGATTCATTGATCTTTGGATGGGGCCGGGGCAGGAAGCACAGCTGTAAAAAGGAACTCATTCACATCATCAGGAGATTAGCAGACGTTCTTTCTTTTGTTGGTTTGTAAGGCTCATAGGCGGACGCAGTGTTAAGCAGAGAAAGTTGCTCAGTCTTCACCACACAACGTGTTTTCCCTTTTTTCCCATAAATTGTGGGTTGTGTACTTTGTTTGACAGCTAAAAGTGTCCGTTGTGATGGATGATAATGTTTTGTAGTCTTGCATGAGAGTAATTAGGTGTACTTCAACCGTGTCTAGTCCCCCGTGCCCTCTGTGCTGCACTGCTACCGAGTGTCTAAATAAACTTTGACTCGTCCCCTTTTTAAAGTAGCACTCGCTTGTTTAAGGAGCTCTGCAGGTAAGCGACCCAAACCGATCCATCTCACTGACGGAGATACTTGATGTCCAGTAGCCCGTTAGTGGATTCCTCCTCAAAGGGGTCAGCTACTCTACTCGCTAAGGGATAAAGATACGTTTAAGGTAAAGACCAGATGCTCTCTTCATCTTCTTCTAGTCCATATTGTCCATGGGTATTATAATTTATCTCCAAATGTACAAACAATATCCACCTACTTTATATGATCTGCTAATTTAGTCTGTCTTGGGTCTGTGATTTAAATGTATGGGATTAGCTTTAAACACAAATAGACATAGTTTTAGATACAAAATAAAGTAGTATGTAACAAGCTCTTTCTTTATACTGGGAATTGTAGTTCTGACATAAAGTACAATCTAGCTACTTACCAGCTGTGTGGACACAATGAGTGAAATGTTTAGCATTCGTCCACTGAAGGAGAACACTTTTAAAGTGGAACCCTTGTAGTATCTATTTTGTGTATGTACCAGGTTGTATTTGTGTGAGGGTAATAAGGTGTGAAATAATTAAAGAGCTATTTCATTATCCACTAAACAAAAATATGTACTGCAATGCTTTCTTTTAAAGATAAATGGTAAATGGACTGTACCTGTATTGCGCTTTTCTAGTCTTCCAACCACACACAGCGCTTGAACACTTCATCTCAACCTTCACCCATTCACACACACTAAGGTCATCCTGGGATCGAACCACCGGTCCTCTGATTTGCAGGAAGATGGTGCTCTCCACTCACCCACAGTCGCCCTTGTGGTGGAGTGGAGAAGGTTATAAAGGACGTTATAAAGGCCTGATGAGAGACATCAGCCGAAGCTTCCTGGGCCACCTCTGAAGTGGCACATGCCACTGATGATGAAGTGTTCCAGCTTTGCAGATTAGGGGGTTTTCAGGCTGTGATTTCATTCCGTTTGCGCCCACACACACACACACACACACACACACACACACACGGTTGCACTGTGAGAGAAACTATTTACTTTAGATTGATGGCGTCCAGGGTGAGTAGAAAATAGACTTTACTTCATTGAACCAAAAGAAACTACTATCTTTTCCACGTATCACGATTTTAGAGAGGATTTCTTTTCCTAACAATGACTGATTGCATGACATTTGCTGGTGTAATTCATTACCGCAATTTTGCCCTATGGTTTACAATAAGAGAAGCTCGGAACGGTCCGTGCTGATTGTCATAAGTATTATAGAAGTAGGAAGGAGAGAGAATGCCTGGAATAATATACTGACCTCATGAGGAACGTGGCAAACATTTGGGGATTAATTCCACCCTGCACTTACCTCGAGTCCGAGGACGTTTTAAAGCCAGTGAAAGCAAAGAAACCGTATGGCACAGTAGACTGTGACTAACGTTTGCCTGCAGTTCACCTTGGTGTAATTGGTTAAAATCCATGGCAGCAAGTTAACTGTACAAAAATGGAAAGTAATCAACCTAAAACGTTTTGTAAAAACTGCAATATAGTTCCACCTTTAGTACGACACAGTCTGTGCTCTTTCACATGGAGGCACATGGTGTTCTGGGATGAAGATGTTTATGCGTCGATGTTTTTAATTTTGTGGTGGCAAAGATGATCGTCTACATCCGAGGCCGACTACCAGCACCTGGGTGTTGCCCCCCCTGCTTTAGCATGTTTATCTTCCAACTCTATATTCCTGGTCCGAAGATGAAAACCTTTGAGTAGGGTTGGCGCATGACTTGTATGTGTGTCAACTCGGTCTCCTGTTTGCAGACATTAAATGTCCTGTTTGGATGATTTTACACCGGTGTTGACAATACATTTTTCTAACAGCGGATCAAAGTTGCAAGACGCAAACACCAGACGATGCAGTAGCGGCTATATGTCAATCACCATGTAGCCGCGCCCTGGAACAAACCGTGATATCTATTTTACTCTGAATTGGACCATAATTGACTAAATGAACGTTGCGCTGTAATGAAGAAAACTAGCAATTGAGAGCATAAAACACCGTACTGAGGGAAAGAATGAAGTGGCTGAAAGTTATTTAAGTGTCATGTTAGTCAAGTGACTGACCGAAAAAATAATAGAATAATAGAAAGTTTATTTTACTTCAGCATTGGCTTTACTTTTCGGGGCTAGAGGTTTCTGCCTGACTGCTACAAATTTCGGAAAATAAATTAAAGCCTGTTAAACTAATCAGAAAATGTTGGAAGCAAAATGTAATGAAA